ATTGCCAAAAGCAGCCAGGTAGCAAAGCTCAAACTCACTAACTATTCACATCTTTTTCTGACTGGTTAGCTATACACAGATATCTGGTTCTCACAGTGTCAGTCAGAATTAGTTTTATGTAGTCAATCTTGGCAAGAACGAAGTCGCTATAAAGATCAACCATGACTTCCAAAACTGAAAGGTCAGGCTGTATACTTGTTTACTTTTCTTGCAAAATGACAGTAAGAGTTGATTTGAAAGTCAGTTACTAAACACAGAAGTCAGTTCTAGGAGGGTCAAACAAAATCACCTTCTTTTTCAAGAGAGCCAAAACCTTAATGCTAAATTCTGAAACTGCAACTATGTTCTTGTTACTGACTTCTTAAAATGTGAAATAAAAAATGTTCACACACATAGAATATAAAAGTTTTTCACACTAGCAGACATATGGTTTGCTTTTTTGGTGATTCTGTATAGAGCAAATAGTTGGACTCAACTATCCACACAGGTCCCTTCTAACTCAGAATATTCCAGGATCCTATTTTATTTAATATTCAAATACTTCATTTATAGTTGTAATTACCTAATTTTTACTGCAATCTTATCCAAATGCCTGCTACTTGCAAAAAAAAAATTAAAAAAATTGCTTAATGACACTGTATCAGAACACCCACTAACTAAGAATTTTGGAGTATTTGTGCACATAGCGACATGACATTCCCATTACTGTTTCAGGGAAGTGATCCTATACAGCCCATGGATGAATACTGTTAACACCAGCAACAACTTGAGAATGTCAGTAATTCTCTAACAGCTATGTTCACTGCTAGCTTGTCTTAGAAACTGAAGTGATCACTTTTCACTTCTGAGAAGATATGTGAATTCACCAGTAAAGAAAATACTGGACAGAGACAGTTCAGTGCCCTATATTCTAAAAAACCTTGCCTGCTGAGAAAAAAGGTTCTCTAGAGTAAAAATGAAGTAGTGAAATAACTGCAGGGAAGCACAGCAAGTGACAACATGAGACTGCTCTGTCATAGCTAACAAAGTAGCCACGTGGCATTTAAATGTTTGCTGCAGTTTCCATGTACGAGTTTTCTCTGTTACAGAGATGAAACAGCATTTCTTAGATTTCCAGTGGTAAAGTCAACCTTCATTAGTAGCAGGCTGCTAATTTTAATAGATCTTCCATTAAGAAGCTATATGCTGAAGAGTGGAAGTGCACAGCATGTATGAAGGGAAAGACTGAACAGGGTTATTGACAGATGGATCATTTAGTGCACATAATATTAAAAGCAGTGCTGCCATCTCTTGGTTGCATTTGTGCATAATAAACATGTACTGTGCTTGTTACATATTTAAAAAATAAAAATAAAACAACTGTAGAAATAAATGCCACGATATGAGTGTTCAGCAATGCCCAAACTACAGCATAAGAAATTCTAGAATTCCAGTTAGTAGGGCCACCCCTGCAGATGAAGTTTGTGCTTCCCTGCTGGCTGTATGGTAAACATTTTTACAAACACAATGGTGGTTTTTTTTTTTTTCTTCCCCTCTCCTCTCTCTCTTTCTGCCTTTGGGGTAATTCTACTTCTTGAAAAAGAATACATTTGGAGTAGACAGAGAACATTTAGGATGTTAAATTGCAAGCCTGCAAACGTACGAGTTCTGCAGGGAAAATGACTTCTAGGATTCAGGCTTTTTTACACAAGAGAACATACAAGTGTTTCATATATATATACACACACACACACACTCTAGTGTACATATACATATCCAAATTTATGTTTATATACTAGGATGCATAAACAATACAGTACCCCATTTAACTGTTGCAAAAAAAAAATCAGTTTGCTCAGTACTGCACAGATGTTGTTTCCAACTCTTCTGACAAGATTCAAAAGTTGCCAATCGTGAAACTAGAAAAAAATAAAAAAAAAGGGTTGGAACCAACCCTCGCAGGTCTTTTAGCCCAGTTCCCTGCCCAAAGCAGGTCCAATTAGCTCAGGTTGCTCACAAATGTGCCTGTGTGAGGATTCCTGACTCCACACACAAACCATGCACCTCTGCCCAAATCTGACCACTTCTGTGGTGAAAATAAAATCCCTAGCAACCATGCAACAGCATTGACCACACTGCAATTTTTGTTCATTGCCTTTCATTCTGCCACTGCTGGCTCATGTTCCACTTGCTGTCCAGTAGTTTCTTGGAGCTGCTTTCTATCCAGGCAGCCCCAGACTGTTCTGTCACAGGGGGTTACTTGGTTTCAGATGAAGGACTTAATCTGCATGCAAAGTGGAAAAAAACTGCAGGACATAAAGGACAATTGTCACATGTGATTAAATGGAGTGCAGGGTGGAAAGATAATAATGAAACATTCTTTCCATTGAATAGCCACATCTACGTTGTTTTTTTAACTGCTATTTGGCAGCATGGCTCTTTATCAATTGGGGTGCAGGTGTGGGATAGAAGAGGAATCAAAATAGAATTTTCTGATTCAGGATGACATCCAATTTCTACAATTAAAACTCAAGAAAACAATACAAATCTATCACCGCTTACTACTGCTTTACGCATGGATAATGGATGACCCTTCAGCTGCCCTCAGGTTTGGGGGTATGTGACACAGGGCAGCACGCTGGTACCCTTTGTACATAGTAAGGGAAGAAAAGAAGCCAAAACAGGAGGAGGAAATGCTGAACCAAAGAGAATTTTGATCAAATTGAAATATTCTGAATATAGTTGTGAAAGAAGGCTAGTAACTAATGTCATATACCATGTGAGCAGAAAAGAAATGTTCTTGGCACTGAATGGCATGGAAATAACTTTAATCATTTACATTTAGACTGTGTATTAAAACTCTTTATCTCAATATTGGGAAATCATATATTATAACTGAATGTTGATACAATCAAGCAATGCAATTGCTGCACAAAGTCAGTCATTAGTCTTTTTCCTTTCAAGATGTCAGCTTTTTTTTTTTTTTTTTTGCTTTCATCCATAGCTACAGACTGCCTTCTCATGAAGATTCTCGTACTTAAAGCTGAGGAGTTATGCTTATCTACTCAGTTGAGGTTTTGACTTGAGAAGTCCAAAAAATAAAAAAAGGATCTTTAGGTCCAAAGTTTGCTTAACTATTTAAAACTTGAGAAATTGCGATGGAATCAATAGCCACTCTTCATTATTTTCAGCAATAAAAAACTATAATACAGAGTCCCATATACTTGCTGTGAGTCTGAGAACAAAATAGCCAGGTGAAGGGTCTTCCTCAAATACAGGTGCACAGGTTTATTTTTGTGGATTTACCCGGTCAGTGGAAGTTATCAAGTCTTAAAAAAAGAGTTGCTGCCTCCCAAAATCTGTAGCCATAGTCTTCCTTTAAAAATCATCAATTTATTTAATTAGAACACCTACAGCTAGTTCTGCTGTTTGTTTCAATAGCTGACCCACTCCAGAAAAGCTGATAATTAGGAAAAGCTGGGTGCAACTCTTTGCCTGGCACCAGGAAGGTGTGCCTTAGTAGCAAATCACCACTTTGTGGATGCTTCTAAACTAAGAAGTTAAATTTATCTCTGTCACATCTCTGTCAGAGGTGTGAACAAGAACAGCATTTTTTTCCCCAGGTATTTTAGGTGACTTCAAAAAATAACTAGCCTAGTGCCTCATGTCTTGCTGCTGAGACTAAACAAGCAGAAAGGAAAAATCATGTAAGAAAATGATGTGTAACTGCTGACACATCTGAAGTCTTCAGAATTGGTCAAATGTGGTGTATCTTGGAAACTATTCAGTGGGATATTGCATTCTACTATTCAAATATTACTGAATTGAAAGCTCAGTAACAATAATATGTGATCCTGGATCAGATTATTTGGCCTAGTCAGAAACATGTCACAGAGCATTAAAAGAAACAGATAAACTGGGGAAGATGAAGTATTATGCTACACACACATTTTACTTCCAAATGACAAATAAGAACACTTCATAATCACCTGCGCTACCCAAATGATGGAAAGACAGATATCAGAACAAGTGAAAACGTTACCATAAGACTTTAAAAGATACCATTATGCTTTTTGCAGTATTTTACTGCATAATTCAAGTGCAATTTGACTTCCGAATGAGTGTTTCATATCAACAAGTGGCAGCCAAAAGGTGCCTTGTACTAAGGAAGTCACCAGGTATAAAGCAGAAGGATAACTTAAATACAATAAAACACTGGTGCCACAGAACCAAAATTAAGAATCAGTAGGAGCTGACATCAGTATGCAGCCACTGAAGTACTGGAAGGCATTTTCTGGGCTTTAAAGCATCACTTCTGTATGATTGCTACTCCTGCAGCTTCCCAGCACAGCATTTTTATCAGTTTCAGTAACATTTTGGTCAAAAATTAAATTGCTTCTCATACTGTTATACCAAGAATAGCAAGTACTATGGTGCTTTATCTACTACTGATACTCTTCCAGTAAACAGTACATGATTTTATTTTATTTTATTTTTTTTTTTAATAATAGTACCAGCCTCTAAGAATGCTTTTGGATAGCATGGACTAGGCTACAACACGTAGTCATTTTAGTTTTTCTTACGCAACCAACAATAAGCTGGAACTAAGTAACCTTATCTCTCATCAGTGCACATATGTATTGTCAATATCATGACTGTCCTACAGATCTGTTGCTTTCTTTACAAAATATGGCACAGCAGCATTTGCCCAGCCATCCACCACCCATAAATGTTTAATATATAGCATCAACATGTCTCAGAAAATACATTTTTCTTGTAAATGGAACATGAGTAAGGAAAACATTCCTATGTCACCAGTCCAGAAATGTGAATAGGTGCAACTATAGAATGCTATAATGGTTCACTTCAGATAACGGGGTCTCCTTCCCTGAAAAAGGAATGAAGGCAATACTGAAATGTGACCTAGAACTTCTCAATTTCTCAAAGCTTCACTTGTGGAGGTGGGCCAGTGTGCCAAGGGTACGTAACATTCACCTGTCAACTAACACAGTCACTTCTTTACCATCTTAGGTTGATCCAGGCTACGATCTGAGAATAAATCATAAGAAAATAAATAAGTCACAGAATGACTTTGGTTAGAAGGGACCCCAAAGACCATCAAATTCCAATGCCCCTGCCACAGGCAGGGCCACCAACCTCCAGATCAGGTACTGACTCCTGTTTTTTTGCTATAATATTTTCTTGTTGCGGATTTTCTTCAGAATCATATCTTATCTTGCATCATTTCCTATTTTTCTCCAGAAAAAGGAAAGCAGACCAGAATTCAATGGATATTTTCAGAAACTACATAATTACTTTATTAATATACGAGGAATGGCAAAATACCAGTTGAGTTTGTACCGGATGAATAATAAAACAGCAGATTTAAGACCAAGATACTAGTCACAACAGGTGCTACTTGTCTTTTCTTTGCTGATTTACACTCATGGTTCTCCCATCTTTTAATTGAACTAAAAACGCTTTATACTATGTATAAAGATCAATTCATGATGGTTTTGTCCTGTATAAAACTCTAGAGGGAGCACTGCTCTTCCTAACACCTTTTTTTTTTGTGGTTGTTGGGGGGAGAAGGGAGGGGAAATGGGGGAGTGGAGAGTGAAGGGAATAAAGATGTAAATAGATACAGGTTTAAACACAGATTTAAAGACAGCACTATTTTTATCATCCATGAAATGACCAAAATTAATGGTTTAGCTAGTGAAGACAGCAAGTGCAGTGCATTTCTCACCTTAAATTCACAAAAATTCCTACTTCAGAAACATAGCATGTTTTCCAGAATTCAACACATCTGGCTATTCTGTAAACCCTATGTCCACATGCAAGGTTTGGAGCCTATGAAGCCTCCAGTATCATGAGTGAAGTGATGCCAGGCAGTATCCGTTCTTCCAGACTCTTAACCACGTAAGTTTCCTTAAAAAAAAGAGATCAGTTGCTGTGGAGACATATACTAAAAGGAAAATCCACAAAAATTCAGTCACTTTCTTATCACCTAACAAAGACAATTATATATTTAGTATTATTCATCCCTATCCCTTTTGTGGCATTTCTTACAAGTAAGGCATTCAACTATAATGAAGATGAAAATCAAGATGCACTCCTAGAAATCCCAAGATGAAAGAGTCTGTTAGAAATAGAATTGAAGTTTTCTTTAGCTTCCATTGTTAATCCATTGTAATCTATTTACTATTTGAGGTCAATTCAATTTCCTAGAATACTTGGGAGATATATTCCACAGTTAGGAACCTTTTGCAGACAAGTTTCCCCAGGCTAGCCACTATTAAAGATGAGCTTTAAGCTTAAGAGCTTACGTTATCCACAGCTGTGATAAGGATAAAAACAGCCTTCCTAACAGCTAGGTAACAGTCCTCTTTGAGATTGGCCCCATGACAGATTTTCTCCTGGGGCCCCATGTGAAAAAAGATCTGAGCAAAGCAAGATTGTTAACTGGAATCCAAAGAAGAAAACCTCAAAGAAGGAAACTGAAAACATTCTAGGGAATGAGAATGAGGTTCGTTTTACTTCAACTAGTGCCTTCACCCTCTAGAAATGAAAAAATAAGCTCTACTCACAGAAGAAGCAATGATTTTAGTGTGTGTGTGTGTTTTCAATGTCTTGCTCTACAGCTGTCTTATCCTCGTTCTCCACAGTGAGAATGTAGGATGTCCGTTTTCAGGAAAACGTATGGCCAGATTAATGGAGCTCACAGTACAGCAATGAAGGAAGGAAAGAACAATGAGGAACTGTAATTGTGGCATGGCTGGATACGAGGTCTCTGCCTGTATGCATACCCAAGACTTTAGTACTAGGTGAACCAAGAACTGACAGGCATGTGCAAACTCAACTGAGACTCTATACTGATTTGAGCATTTAGGCCAACCTTTCTCTGAGCTAGTTCTTCTTTAAGGACCTTTAAAATCCTTTCCACCATTACCTATGCAACAACTACATTCACTACATCCAGCTGAATAGATGCTCTGGAATCACAAAGGAGCATTCCTCCATCAGAGTGCAAATGGCTGAAGGGCTGATTTCCCCTCCCTGTCACACCTTCCTGAAGAGCAGAAGGATGTTAATTAAAAGACACATGTTAGTAGTTTTAAATAGTCTCAATTCATTGGCATGCCTTGGGAAAGGAACTATTTCTCAGTGAAAAGGCTGCCTTAAATATTGCTGACAGAACCCTCTGACTCTCCAGGAAGACCTCAAAGTATCATGCGGAGGTGACATTTTAATTTTCCTCCTTATTTCAGGTAAATTAAAAGACACACTGTCACATAGGTTGAAGAGTCTTGTTGTAAGGATTTTGACACAATCACAGCCTGCTGCTTAAAAAAAAAAATAAATCAGTGCTCACCTATGAACTGAGTTTTCTGTAAGTTCAGTGTAGACTCACATCCTTAAATGTGAATTGTTAGTCAAACTAACACCAGAACAGTTGTTCACAGCTGAAACTAAAAAATGAGGTGGCCTCTTGTTCCAGGTATACAGCAACACAGTACAAATGAAAAAATGTACTTGATTCAAGAAACTCCAGTTCAGTTCAAGCAGAAGTTGAGGATTTACCTGCAGAGTCTAAAGCTATCATTTATTTAAAAGAGATGGTTCTGCAAAGGCAATACTAGGTAAAAGAGAAGACCTAAAAAGTTATGTAATTAGATAATAAAATCCAGCAAATAACAGATCTAGGCTAGAAGTAGTTGAATGATGCCTGTTCAGCAAGTGAGATCTATCAATAGCCTGACCATGAAACCAGTGAAGAAATAAAAACCTGAAATAATCATTAACAAGGGCTTCACAGAATCTCCAGACTAGGAGGTGCAGCTAAAACTGTATTTGTAGCACCATTAGGCACTGATTTGTGTAGAGAAAAGATCTCATAATAGACTCTCATTTAAATCATCCTACACTGTGCCAGGAGGTACGACATCTTGCAAGTATTTAGGAAGTATAATCACATAACTACTCAGCAGTTTAATAAACTCTAAAGGGTCATATAAATAGTTGTCTATAGTAGAACTATAAAGAAGCAGTTTTCCTTAAAAACCACTTCCGCCTCAACTTCTAATAAACCATTTATCTTATGAAATTCATGAGCAGTAACTGCACCCTTTATATTTAATCATTCTGGATTATGTGGGGTGCTTCTGTTCTTTATTCAACACCAGCTGACCTTGGGATAACACCCAGCTCAGAAACAATTTCAGTGAATGAAATTATGTTTATCAATACACGAAAGACGTAGACAGTTCTGATGAGAGAGCACACACAGCTTAATAGAGGTCCAGGTTTGGGGAATTGCATTACCGCTCGCATCAGCCTAAATGATCCTACAACAACCATCTCACATTGACACAGCTTGCAGATTTATGCACTATGTAGCACAGCGCCAGTCTTATCACAGCTCATCCACTATCAAGTGTTTGGAAAAGATAAGAATGCATTTGCATTTTTAACAAGGGTTCAATGTCTTGACTTCTTTGCAAAAGCTACATTGACAAATACAAATTATAGCTGCCAACATTAGCTTTCTCTAGGCTTACTACAGATAATTTGGGGATGTATTTCTTCAGTAAAGATCAAGTAGTTGTATGGCACCAATTGATACAGATGAGTAATTACACAGTATTAAAAGTTACATTAATCCGTTGATAGAGTATTTTAGTATATGCCATAACCTCCTGGGTGATAGGACTACAAGATTTTCTTGCTTTCCATTTTAATGATCTCTGATACTGACAGGATGTCAAGAGTTTTGTCAATAAACATTCACAACACTGAAATTTATTTCCTCCAATCTTTCTTTTCCTCCTCCTTCTACCCTCAGCTGGATAAGGTGCATGGAAAACTGTAACAACGAGCATTAATTTGCTAAATTACCTAATCATTAATGATGCAATTGGTTAGATTGGTCAGGTTATGTGGTTATTTACCTTTGTTCAGTTTTTACATAACACACATCATTTGTCCAAAACTCTTTCTCAAAATGAAGTACAATGAACATATGACATCCTGATAGAAAAATAAGCACAAAAAGACTAAAATACTTAAGTGAATTATGCACTGCTTGTTTGCCTTCAATTTCTCAAATATAAACAAACATTAGAATACTACTTCCTTGCTACAAATGTACTTTAATAGAGTGGCATAAGTCTTCTGAGAAGCTAAAATGATATCAAGAAAATTTAGCAATCACAAGGGATTTTCATAGTGTTGTATGGTAATTAAACATTTCAGTCTGAGATTTTCAAGAACATAGACTGAGTTTATATAATTTCATAAGTCTGTGTTCATAGTTGCGTACATCCTGAGTTAAACAATAATCACTCACTTTGAAGATGACAACTTCTTATGCTGTGTGACTACAGAATGTTATCCATCCCTGCTAAAGTAGATCTCAATTTGATTAACAAGGCAGCACGCATCCTGACAGATTTATTAAGGCACAGTGGAGAAAGGCATTTAACTATATTTCATGCTGACATAAACAACACATATCTTCACTGAAGGATTTGTATTTAAATGAGCTCCAGCACCTTGTAGCACGTGCGTTTTACAGCAGCTACTTCAAAAGTTCAACAGAAAATTCCTGGAGAAGTCTGCATGGAAATCATCAAATGCAGAAAAGGCTTCCAGACAGTCAGCTTATTTATGATTCCGTTACACAGTCACATTGAGTGTGTCAGTTATAATGACAAGTCTTGTGTAATTGTCACTTACACTCATGCTCTCCTTTCATATCAAAGATAAAAAGTGGAAGAAATTCACTGTTGAAAGAACATACTAGACTGTAATGAAAACTAACAGCTGGGTGTAACCTGTGAAACTGCAGAAACTTTGGCAAGATGTCTTTGAAAATACAGACATAAATCAGAATGCATTATTACAGAATGAAACTTGCCTCAGTATTACCTAGTCCTACTAACCAACATAGCACCTAAAGCATTATGAAAGCCTCATTACACAAACCTGTAGATAAATGGGAAACTCAGCAATATCCATTTAGGGTAAGTAATTTTGAAACAACTTGAAGCATATCCTCTAAGAGTAGATAAAAACACATTTTAGTATTTGCTAACAACACACTAATTTCTTAGGAAAACTGTAATTCAAAGTTAAGTTCTTCATTCTTGTAAGTTTCCTCCACTTTCTTAATGCATTTTGTATCTCCAAAATCAGTACTCGTTCATATAAGCCACAATTTTTTCACATATTTTTACATCTCTATTTTCTACTGGACACCAGCTTTTCCCATTCCCCATAGTTTTCATGTTTCCTCTCTATTTCCCTTTCATTCAGGCACAAAACACAGTAGCAGGTGTGTATAATCAACAAATATACAGAGTGGTGTGGCTACACTGGTACCTACAGATCACATAGCTAGAAAGATTATCACGGTGGAAAAGGATAATCAAAAACAAATGAAAATGCTCACCTGTATCCTAGACTCACAGAAAAACTCCAAAGGACACAACCCCCAGAAAGAGATCCTTTCCACTGGCAGTCAGCCCTTAAATGGTGTCTAGGAAAGATTCAGCCCGGCTCCACCCCTCCCGGTCACACAGCTGAATTGCCTTCACCTGTGCTCCCATGGCTGGCTCAGTGCTTGCCTCAGGTGATCAATCAGGGGTTCAGGCTGTGACTCAAAGGTTCCCATACGCAGCTGTGTACACAGTTTGTATACACATGTGTTTTAGTGAGGTACAGACTAAGCTCGTACCCTTTAGGACAACTCAGAAAAGCACTTACCTGGCTCTGTGCTCTCCTAGTAACGCCCCTAACAAAATACCAACCTAAGTCTCTGTGTATTTCTACAACTTGCCAGCAATGATTAGACAGATCTCTTACTGTTGTAATGCAAAATGTTTCATCCAGATCATCTCATATTTCAAAAAAAGGATAAAAAA